GATGAAAATACAACACTTAGTTTTGACTCACCTTGTATATATCAAACAAGATTGCAAATTCTGGAAGACTGAATTTTGAAGAAGACACTATTATTCAGTACTTCCTGTTAATTTTTTTTTTTAAATTTTTCGAATTTAGAATTTTCAGAGAACTCTTTAAATAAGCAATAAATTTAGTTTAAAAACGGTTATATTTCAAAAACCATTAGGTATAGTATATCAAATTGGGGTATTTTGAAACAGAAATTTAGTGGCAAATCCACTGAGGTAAAAAAATATATAGTATTCCATTTAAAAATATGCAACTTTGGTTTGAAAATATGTTTGAATCACCCTGTATGCTGACAAAAATATTTTCAAAATGTGCGTTACCATTGCCCCCATATTATATAAAAAAATGAAATGAAATTCACAAACCAAAAACCTAACATAGAGCTTTTTCGGAAGCCTGAATCACCCTGTAGATTTTATAAAGAAATAAAAGGGCGGCAAATTTTTCGATTTCACGGCTTATTTACGGCATATTCCTTTTGTACTAAAAAGTTATTATTGATCCCATTTAGTGAATTTTAAGAAAAATCGCGCTAATTTAACGTTATTGTTTACGTTAATTATCGATTTTGTAAACAAATAATAGAGGGGCAAATTTTTCGTTTGCATGGTGTATTTACGGCTAATTTACGGCAATTGTTCCACCTACTTTCAGACATTTTACTTAACGTTTACTGGAATGTTTGTGCTAACTTAATATGTGACCTTGACGCTATTACATTTTTTGTTGCAGGGGGATAGAGAATGATCGGACGACATTTTTTTTAATTGTATCTAAGAACGGCAAAAAAACGGCAAATTCCCGCTATACTATAAAATTTCTAACTATGTTCATTCACTGATTTCCAATGGTGGTTGTGCTAACTGAATATTAACTTAGCACAACCATCGATTTAACATACTTAGCGAAGAGCGGCAAATTTTTCGTTTTCACGGCTAATTTACGGCAATTATTCGACATAGTTTCATACATTTTTTTTAAAGTGGTTGTGCTAACTTAACACACGTCAAATTTCGGACATTTTCTGAGAAAAAAATTAAAATCATAAATTTAAAAAAATACATTTATGCATGTATATGCGGATACACAGGGTGAGTTCTCTACTATGATCTCTATGGGTATCTAGGAAACTACTGTAGCTAGAGAGTTGGTCAAAGTGTGAAAAACTTACAGTTTTGTGAGGACTAACATATGCGCCTTTCGCATTTTCGAAAAAGTTTACATCTTACTAGATATTTAAAAAAAAACTACTTTCGGTTATTTTATAAATGCTCGGTAATTCCATAATAATCCATTTTAGACATAATCCATTTTATCCAAAAAGTTTTTGGATAAAAGTTATAGATAATCACCCTATTGTCTACTTATTCTTAATGAGATAATATTCCTTTCTAAAAGCCTGTCATTTTTAAGATATGACACAAATATATGTTTTTTTTTTAATTGTGACCATAGTTGGCTACGAGTTGGCCATGACTTAAAATTGCCATTTTTTAAGCTTTTTAGCGATATAAGCTATAATATGTTTTGTTGAATAATTATATTATCGAGTTAGACAGGGTCCGGCAATAGTGCGTCGGGTATCTGTAGCTTCTAGAATAAAAAACTTCTAGAATTTTGTTTAAGTGTAAACCTAAAGGATGTACAAAGATGTATTTCAGGAAAATATTTTAACTTTTTTTAAGTTAAAATAATTTCTCTAATACTTAATTAAAATGATGAATTATATTAAAAGAATTCCTCTAAAAGAATAACACTTATAGTTAAATATATTTCATGAAAGTACAATTTTTAATATTTTTCCTACTTTTACTTGTTTAAGAAATGCCAACATTTGTGCATGTCTATTAGACATACAATCATTAAAAATAAATTTTATTCAGTTTGTAAAAATATATTTTGTATATGTATTTCAATAATCATACAAAAAATCTTTACTACATTTTTGATTGACTCTAATTTTTACATATAATACTGAATTAGGTTGGAAAAAAGATATTCAGGGTCGTTTTATTTGCTCTTTATTTTTTAATCAGCTATTCAAGCAACTTGGCACCACATACATTTTCACCATTGTTAATATTAAATAAAGCACAAAATATGCATAATAAAAATTGTTTTATATTCCAAAAAAATTAAAACAAAGTTTTTCTTGGTAATGTTACTTTTATTTTCTTATCTATGGTTACTTTTCTTTATTGGATTTATTGCTTATTAGCGCCACTGTGGTCATTTAATGAACCATTATTCTTCCCAACTAGAATAAGGTGTTACTAGATAGTGGACTAGAATAAGGTGTTACTTAATAACTTTGTAGTATACATTTAATACCATAAAATTTTTGGTATTACCTATCTCTTCACCGACTATTCCATTTCTGTTAATACCCTTAGTTTAACCCCTTTTCTCAGAGTAATCCTTTCCCCTAAAAGATTCGATAAGCAAGAATGGTAAACGATTTCTTTTGGAACACTTTAAATAATTATTATTCAGTTCTTATTTCCATTTCACCAAATTAAAAAAGGGAGAGTTGGTCTTTACCGGTATTATTTCAGACCATTAATCGTTTAAGGGAAAGGAAGTTAATAAAGAGTTAGTAATGTCTATATAGTATATACACAAAGGATGTTAGTCATATTTTAGTCATGTTTTTATGGCTAATCTTACTTTAGGTTTTGCCCGATAATTTCGTTTTTCTTTTTTATAGGGTATATATACTAGGTGACTCTTAAATCAGTGCAATTATCTTCAGCAGTGGCGGCTCGTCAGGGTAGGCAAGGTAGGCAAGGTAGGCGGCGCCTACCGTACAATTTTGTCAGAATTTAAGCAGTTTATTACATTATATTATTTACTATTAATGTTGCCAATACACAAAAATACTGTTAATACACGGTAGTGTGCTGTAATAATCAATATTAATTTAATATTTGTGGTCTTGTATATTAAAATAATCACTACCGCTGGCGTAAGAAAACAAAATAATTTTGACCGTGTGCATATTGCAGACGCCCTTGTTCGGCGATTTCTTAAGGTGCGTATTCATTATCCGAACGAACGAGCGAGCGAACGAATGGAATTCGGTATATTTGGACGGTGGACCGAACGCATGCGGTCGTTCGTTCGTTCGCTCGGCCATCCGTTTCGAGTCGGTACATCAAAGGCGTTCGCAAACGAATAGGTTAAGGTGTTTTCGTTTGGTTCTATAATCGGGTCCCGTCCATAGTTTAGTTAGTCTTCTGTATGCTTCTGTCCCTGTCTAGCTATCGTGCGGTAGCGACGCGACGTAAGCCCACGGCCACACAGAAAGCGTTTTAGCGTTTTGCGTTTTTTGCGTCTCAAGCGCTTTTTGCGATTTTACCGTTTTAAGCACTTTTTTCGATTTGTGACCATTAAAAACACGCAAAAGAGGCGGCAGGTCTGCAGTTTCTATCAAGATGTCAATTAGTAACGTCGCAAGCTCGTGGATTCCCGGCCCGTCCAACAATCAATCCTGTGAGAAAGAGATAGGCGAGATCGGCGCCGTTAGCGTTGAAGAGAGGAAGATAAGGATGGCGGGAGGATGGCGGGCGACGTAGAGGATTTGGAGATGGCGGGCGACGTAGAGGTGTGCGGCGTCTGCTCCGACAATTTTATTGTTTCAGCCAAATGCATAAAGTGCGATTTTTGTAAAAAGTGTTATCATACAAGCTGTGTAAATATACGAGACTCATGGTATAAATTTTTAACTGAAAATTCATCTTTGTTCTGGTTTTGTGATCACTGTAAAAATCTTTGGCGATCAAACAAAGTTATAGACGAAAATCTAGTTCCAAATGAGTGTGAAACATTACGTAAGGAAGTTGAATGTCTTAACCGTGAGAAGGAACTGTTAAATAATTTAATATCAGAGTTGAAATATTCAAATGAAACGCAAAAGGCGCTGATTTCAACCTACCAAAATCGTGTTGTCGATAAGTCGAGTGGACTATCATCGCCGAATCAGCCTAGGAATTCATACAGTGAAGTGGCTAAAACGCAAAAAAGTGTAAAATCAATTCTCGTCATAAAAAACCAAAACCAAACTGTGCCAATTGATGCTGTGTACGAGGAGGTGACGAAAACTTTAAATCCAGCGAGCGTCCAGGCCCGTATTAATGGAACCAAGAAGATACGAGAAAGCAATTTATATTCATAGGATGGAAAAAATCATATGTATCGGATTACTTGAGAATCATTCAATGTTACAAATGCTACGGTTATGGTCACGTTGAAAAAGAGTATAGCGGAACATTAACATGTTCTAAGTGTACCGAGGGTCATAAGTTTAATGCATGTAAATCTATTAATGATGTTTGTATTAATTGTGTAAATCATAATAAAAAACTCAGAAAGACTGTACCTGTGGATCACTCCGCTAAAAGTAAAGATTGTTCCATATATTTAAATTATTTATCAGTATTAAAGCAAAGAATTGATTATGGTGAAAATTTGTAATCATTTAAAAATTGCCCACATTAACGTTAGATCAATTCTACCTAAAATACATGTTATAAGAAATTACATTATTTCGAGTATGTTTGATATTATAGCCATGTCAGAAACTTGGCTTACAAAACTTGTACCTGATAATATAATAGACATTGATGGATTTAGAGTAATAAGGCGGGACAGAGAGGAAGGTAGAGGGGGTGGTATTTTATTTTATGTACGTAACTCTATTAATTTTGCTATTATTGGTGATATGATAACTGTTTATTCGGAACAATTGTGGATTAATTGCAAAATAAATAATCTCAATAATACTTTTGGCATAGTTTACAGACCACCAGGGTTTCTTAATTTTGACCACTTTTTGGAAGAATTCGAGCACAATGTTTCTAATAACTTATTAATATGTAATAATCTATTGTGCCTTGGTGACTTTAATGTAGATATTTTAAAAATTGAATCAATATATACACAGCGGTTTATGTCACTTCTTCAATCCTTCAATTTGACTCAGACTATCAACGAGCCTACTAGACTTGGCAATACCGGGGCTACGCTTTTAGATTTGATAGTGTGCTCTGATTCTAGTCGTGTTTTAAACAGTTATGTTGATCCCAGCCTCGATGTTTCCGACCATTTTCTTATTAAATGTGAACTGAAGGTATTTATATCTAAACCTAAGCCCTATGTTGTCTCATACCGTGACTTTAAGAACTTTAATCGCGAAGACTTTTTTAGAGAACTTTTAAACGCTCCTTTTCAGGATATTTTGTATATTCAGGACATTAATATTAAGGTGAGTGTGTTCAGTGCCCTTATAGTGAGTTTATTTGACTCTTATGCACCAGTCAGGACAGCTCGCATAACGAAAAAAAAGGCACCTTGGATCACACAAAATATAAGATATTTGATGGAGACTCGAAACAGAGCATTAAGCAAATATAAAAAGAGAAAGACACTTCAGAATTGGGAGTATTATAGGCAGCTTCGAAATTTTACAAGTGCTACTATTCAAAGAGAAAAAAAGGCTTTTCTTGAGTATAATTTACGTAACCGCAGTGCAAAAGATCATTGGAAGCTTCTGAGAAACTTGGGTGTTTATTCCAATGATTCCAAACACATTCCTGATTCTGTGGGTAGTGCTGAGGATCTTGGCGAATTCTTTATCAGTTCCGTTAGGCCTACCACTCCCGATCCTCATACTTTGAATTTCTACTTACATAACAGGAAGAAAACAAATGCGTCATTTGAGTTCAGGATCGCTACGGTTGACGAGGTACGCTCAGCTTTTTTATCGATCGAATCCGAAGCAGTGGGTACCGATGGTATTGGATTGACCATGCTCCTTTATTGTTATCCAGTTATTCTTCCGTACATTGCGCATATTATCAATTCATGCATTGAAACTTCCACATTCCCTTTGGGTTGGAAGTATTCATTTCTACTTCCTGTGCCTAAAGTATCCAGTATCACCAGTATGAGTGATCTTAGACCAATAAGTATCCTTCCAACCCTCTCTAAGATATTTGAGAGGGTTCTTGAATCCAGCTGAGAGAATACATAATAAACATAGTCTCTTGCCTCCGATTCAGTCGGGATTTCGGAAAAACCACAGTTGTACAACAGCATTACTCAAGGTAACGGATGATATTCTGGAGGCTGCTGATCGGGGTGACCTCACTGGTTTGGTTCTCTTGGATTACTCGAGGGCTTTTGATAAGTTGAATCATCAACTCTTATTAGCAATATTAAAGTTTCTTGGGCTTGAGTGTCGCGCATTGAAACTTGTCGAGAGTTATCTCTCAGATAGGACACAATCTGTAAGATTAAATGGCACGCTGTCTAGTGTTCGACATATTAATTGTGGTGTCCCACAAGGATCAATTCTGGGTCCATTATTCTTTATCCTCTACACATCACAGCTCGATTCGGGTTTGAGAGATTCAACGTCGCTTCGCTTATATGCAGACGACACGCAAGTGTATATGTCTTTCCAACCAGGAAAAATATTGGAAGCCAATGCCATCCTCTCTAGTGAACTTAGTATACTTCTAAAGACATCATCTAATCATTGTTTAGACATTAATCCCAATAAATGTTACGGTCTTTTATTTGGTAGAATACAGGCTAGAGACCAATATGAAAAATTGTTTTCTGTGTCTTTGGACGGAAAGAGGTTGAATAGCTGTAAATCTGCAAGGAACCTTGGTGTGATTATGGATACTCACTTAAGGTTTACTGAACATATTAACAAATGTATAAAAAAGGCCTTCATAAATTTAAAACTGATCTACAATCAACGTTACATCTTAAATCCTAATCTCAAAAAGAAATTATGTGACACCTTAGTTCTTTCACAATTTACCTATTGTGACTCACTATATGGACCGTGTATTTTAGATCATGATGCTAAACGCATTCAACGACTACAGAACTGTTGTATCCGTTTGATAGGCAGTATAAAAAAATATGATACAGGTATCACAAATAAAATGGCGGAAATTGGTTGGCTCAACATGGCTGGGAGAAGAAAATTTCATTCATACTTACTAATTTATAAGATAATCAATAATAAAAGTCCATGTTATTTGTTTGATAAAATTAAATTTAGGTATGATGAACATTCACTGGACTTGCGTCACAAGTTTAATATCGCTCCCCCTATACATCGCACAACTCTGTATGAGAGATCTTTCAGTTATCAGGCATGTATTCTTTATAATAGAATTTCTGTAAATCTTAAAATTAACTCTTATTTGAAATTTAAAAGTTCTATACGACAGTTAATATTTAATTCTTCAATTTAAATGTTCAGATCTTATAATCTCCCGTCATGCCTCCATTTTAGTTTGTTTTGATTTATTTATTTATGTACTTACTTGTTAATTACTTTCTGTATAATTATCTATAATACGGGATTAATTATTGGTTGCCTTTTTTTTACTCATAGAATTATTCTCTTTGTGTATCTATCATATATAAATACTTATCAATTATTTCGTGTTTCATGTATAAATATTTAATTAATTGATTTTCGGTATATTCTAACTATGTTATTCTACCCTTTAGTATTCTATTATAATTATTATTGATTTATTATAATATTTTTATATAATATATATTAATTATGTCTACTAATTAGGGTTAAGTTAGGAAGCTAAGCTTCAACTTCGCCTTTTGTGATTTTTTTTTAATTTCGCAATAAAGTCTTTATTATATTATTATTATTTTATTATTATATTATAAAAGATGCTGGGATTGAATTGTGGACGGGCCGCGGCATATATTCGGAAACAAACACAATCTACTGCTAGTGCCAGTGGTGTGGTTTGATTATTTTTGTTGTTTTGTGTGGTTAAATTATTATTTGCCATTTATTTTACGAATTTTAGTTTATATGTGTATAGTTTTTTTATGTTGTAGTGTTGTGGTTAATACTTGTTATAATTATAATATAATAAATAATTATATAATAGAGTAGTAAATATTTCTAGTTGCTATCTAATGCAATTTTAGGGTATGATTTATGAAACATTTTGGAGTAAAACTTCTTTACGCGGGCTGGGAGTAAAAATTCAAAGCCATGACATACGAGCTAGTGAGACGGCCCTGACACACGAGCTCGTTGTAACGAAACGTGTTAACGGCTTAGAAATACGTAGTGACGCGACGTGTATTAGTGAGCAGTCCACGTCTTTATCAAAAATATTTATATTTTAATACAAATTTTGTAAAGGTGAATCAAATTATTACGTGTAAAAAAACATTTTTTACACATAAAAAACAATTTTTATTATTTTACACAAAAAAAACTGTTGCACGTAAAAAACTATATTTTACGCGTATAAATCTATTTATTACTGGTAGAAAACTATTTTTTACGCGTATAAAACTATTTGTTACGTGTAAAAATCTATTTGTCACACGTAAAAAACTATTTTTTTACGCGTCAAAAACTTAGTGTTTCTGGTAGCAAACCTTTTGTTACGCAAAAAGAAATATTTTTTACGTGTAAAAAACTATTTCTTACACGTAAAAAACTATTTTTTACGCGTCTATAACGCGTCATAAACTTTTTTCGTATAAAAAAACTATTTTTTACGCAAAGAAAATATTCCTTTAATTTATTACTTTTTCGACATTTCAAACTACACTTTTTCAAATATTTCCTTCAATTTTTGAATTTAATAGAACCTTCCTAAACAGTAGATGTTCTTTATAAAAATATTTTTAGAAAACCCTAAAATGAAAAAAAATGCATACTATTTATTTTTATTGTATTATTAAATACCGTATGATCGAAAAAAACGGCGTCCAGTTGGCTTGGAAATGACGATCGATGACATTTCCCATATAATTTTAGATATAAAATGACAGCGATCTTCATTTCATAACCATCGTTGACGCCGTTTTTATTCGATCATACGGTTATTCGATCATACGGTTTATATTCGACGTTACGATTATAACGTCCATCTATGACGAGGTCTCATCTTAGGAAACGCTAAAGACGCTACAGAAAACAAACTGATTTGTTTTCATTTGCGTTTTTTGCGAGACACGCCGAACGCTACACGCTTTTGGTGTGGCCACTTCTATATAATCCTGTTATTTTGTTTTAGTCGCTTCGCTAAAGACGCTTCACGCTAAAAACGCAAAAAACGCTTCCTGTGTGGCCGTGGGCTAAGTCTGAGTTAGGCGAAATCTCCAGTCGCCTTTGCACTTTGCATGAAGTCGCGGGAGCTCCGTAGGCTTAGAACAGCTTAGAAGTTAAAGGGATTTTTCGTCCCGATATTTCATATGATTCATTATACGTAGTATTTAAAACTTTTATATTATGGTGATTCAAAAAACATTTACAGCAAATTAGAAGCATTTCTCGGGCTTGTTCAAGTCTATTCAAAATGATATAACCGGTTATATTTCAGAACATGCCACAGAACTAATAGAATCCGAAATAAAAAGCGCATTGATTTTGTTAAAGATACAATATTCCAGATTTTACCTCTGATTTTACCTTTACATCAAGGTAGATTAGAAGCATTGACATATGTAAGCTTTGTTGTAGTAGTTGTCAAATAGTTATAATTTGTCATTATTTCGATTCCACATTCTGTAATATTTTCACGCCTATTATTAATACAAGATAGTGAATCGATCGTAGGGTTGTTTTATTTAACAGGTTGAGCCCAGACACGGGACTTTCAAGTTTGTAAGGGCAGCCTGTTCGGTTGCGATATAGTTTTACACGTTCAAGTCGTGTCGTGGACATAGTTGTTTATTTTGTCGGTACGTTCGAGTCGTATTAAAATAAACTCTAATGATGGCATCGAGTATCAAGTTTGATTCTGGAAATATTACAAAGTTTGATGGATCTAATTTTCAACTCTGGAAATTTAGCGTCACCATTCGGTTTAAAGCGGAGAATTTACTTTCAATCGTAAATGGAATGGATACAGAGCCTTCAGATCAAACTACTAAGGAATGGAAAGAATGGGATAGAAGAAATTCAAAGGCCCAGGTTATTTTGTTATCGACAATTTATCAAGATCAAATACAACATTTGATAAATTGTGAAAATGCCTCTGAAATGTGGTCAAGATTGATCACAATACATGAGCAAAAGACAGAAATTTCTAAAGAATTACTTTGGCAAAAATTTTATGAGTATAAAATGCCCGAAAATGGAAAAGTTGCGGAGCAGATTTCTACACTAGAGCTACTAGTTAGGCAGCTGAAAAACGTGAATGAAACTATCAACAAAGTGCAATTTGATCTAAGGTAATCAATAGTTTATCACAAAGATTTAATGCTTTTCGCACTGCCTGGGATTCAGTATTGAGTATTGAGCAAACTTTTACAAATTTAGCAGCAAGATTATTGAAGGAAGAGACTTGAATGAATAATGATGAGTCAGAAATATATTGCCTTGCTTTACAGGTAGAGGCTTTACAAAGTAATATGGGAGCCAACACGAAATAGAAAACAAATAATACACAGAATTTCAAGAAGAATACCACCTGTAATTATTGTAAGCGCAAAGGGCATTGGGTTCGTGAGTGCAGAAAAAGGATACAGAATGCCAAAAACAAGCTATTAAAAAATAATTCAAGTTCAGCATATACATATTTGCGATACCGCAATGTATTTCTCAGACTCCAATGACAACAGAAATGAATGAATATGTGATTCTGGAGCAAGCTTACGCATGAGTGGCGAAAAAGGATGGTTTTCAAAACTAGAACCTTTCAGTGAACCTGTGTTTGTCAGAATTGCAAATAACAAGTTAATTTACACACAGTAGCAGTTTTTAACACAGTAGAAAATAATAAAGAAAATATTTCATTAAAATTTGGTATCCTTGAAGATAGTGAAGACCAAGAACATAATATTGAACATGGAACTCACACCCAAGAAAGTTCAGAATCACCACAGAGTAGTAGCATTCAAGATGTGGACCATGATAATGAGGATTTTAAATTCAACCTGCATCACGATTCTGGCGGTGACCATGTTAGTGAAAGACAACTACGCAATAGGGATACACTATCT